TACCGATTGCGCAACCTTAAAATGTAAAATTATAATACTCAGAGTGTGTGAAAAATAAAAAGTGAGTGACAGTAAAGATAAGCAATCAAAAGAAAGCTAAATCTATCACAGGTACGAATTTTGTGTAGTAGGATTTTAAAATTATGCTAAATTTTGTTTTTTCTCGGAACTCAAATCTAATAAGATTATTTTCGATAGCACAAAAAAGCATTTTTTTAAAAAAATTACGATTTAATTCATTGATGAAAAATTACGATTTTCATATGCCAAAAACGTACAACTTCCAGAAAACTTTTCGCAAAAATCCCTTCGAATACTTACACTCATGATCGTATCAACATTCGCTTTCACCAATTCCACTGCCTCCTGCTTCAGTGTGCTTATGCTTGTAAGTCCTTTCAAATGACCCATCCAGTCCTTTTCGCTGACACTGCCTGCTACTGATGATGTTGATAATCCCGCTTTATCACGGTCTTCCCACATTTGATAAAGCTTGTCAACTAACTGAAAAAACAGCTCATTCAGGCTCACAAACCTTACCTCATTTCACGCTCAATAAACATGACTTTTCAACATGTTACACGGTTTGAGCCACATTAACAGCTCTACTATCTTCCCCATCATAATGTATTAAAATTTATGGATTACGGTCGATGCGTACTGCTTATGCTTAAGTGAAGCTGAGGGCAAATAAGTCCGACTGGATTACACAAGAACTGCAGACACTTACACAATGTTGCCTCTTGCAGCCGGCAACTGTGCACAACAGTTATACCTTTGTTTTTTTGTTTTCAAAATCTCACAGGAGCATAGGCTGACTTCATCCCCAGGCATCCATTCTACCCTGTTTTTGCCCAGTTCATGGAACTTATTCGCTCTTAGCTTTACCGAAGCATCAGTTTCACAAATAGGAAATGACGGGTTTTTGTGAAACAACTTTACATATTTCCCACTGCCCGGACCGGCATTTACTTCAGAAATTACGGTTCGGCCTACCAAGGACCGCAAATTATTTATCAATTTAACCCACTCCGGTCGCTCCACCTGGACCGTCCACTTATGATTCAGCCTTCTAATGGCCATTACTTATTATTTCATTCTCTACGACAAGCACAGGGATACATTTTTCGCCAATCCCAGGCAGAGATAAATTAGTCACTGGAAACGAAGGCACTCAGAAGTAGCCCTGGCGCTGGCACCGTGCCAAAAACAAACATCTCTTCCCTTTCCCCCTCTCCTTCTCGCAAGCACTTAACGGCGGGTGGCTCTTTCGAAAACTGAGTGGAAAGGATATTAAACACGTGATGATCTACGGATGTTGAAGCAGGCTAATTCCATGCTGTTAGACTGGGGCCTTGGAGGCCTCGCCCGCTGGCCCGGTGCACCGGCGTCTCCTCAGATCGTTGGTTCAGTCGCTGATTTCATGGTGATGGCTATTAGAAGGCCGGATCATAAGTGGATGGAGCAAATGGAGTGGCCGAAGTGGGCTAGACGGGCCCGTGTCCTTCACTGGTCGTCAGGGCCGCCAGCTAAAGACACTATATACAACACCGCACAGCACAGGGTGAGTGGACCTTATAGGCAACTTTGTGCCATTATACATGCCCTACCTAGAAGGAAGTCATGATGCAACAATGTTAACTTCGAAAAGAATCGTCGGATGAGGTCAAACTAATGATATTGCGAAGAGATAACAAACCTCAGTAAGTTC